GCCGCCAGCGTCAACGGGGGAGAAGAAGTCTCCTCTGACTCAGCTAACTCAGCGGCATGCCCGGAGCTGTTGCTGGTCGTGCTTCTGCATGCTCACTCCTTCTACCCGTAACTGCAGCGTTCTGAAACGTTTTCACGCCTTCTTACTTCCGCAGGGGGGGTGGAAAAGGTGAATGCGTCTTCAAGAAGCGAGACTCCCTCCATCCTCTTGGATCCTTGAGCAACCGAGCTGTGGGTGCGAGGTGGCTCTCGGCTGGGGGTGGTGCGGCTAGCGCGCCTTCCCCTGGCCTCATCTGCCAGCGCCCAGCAGTATGCTATGCTTCGGTACTCATCGTGTTGGGAGCACGGACACCCCTCTTTCTCACACAGCGAAGGTAGAAATACGGGGCAACGATGTTGCTCGCCGGATATGACGACGAATAAAGGCTTCGACCGCTGGATTGTATTGTAGGTGTCAACACAAGAAATAGCAACACGTAAAACCATACAAGCTGATAAATGTGTTCACGCCGGAATAGGCCGGGGCTTTTATTCGGCCATAGTCAACAGACTATAAGGTAAACTGAAAAGTGGTGCGCAGAATCCCACACAGCGTTGTCGCTGGGGTGTAGAAATATACACGATAAACTGGACAGCCAAACAGTACTCGATAACACCCTGTAGTGAGTTGCTTGCCCTGTGCAGGTAAACTAGATACTGGTATGCTTACGTGATCCGTCTGAAGATGAGGCGCTTCTGCTTGTGGGCGCAAATGCCGGCTTGACCCGCTCGGTTGCTCCAGATCGAATACTCTGCCTTACTGAGAGCTGAGCCCCGTATTTATACCACAAGCTCAGCGTGGGTAGGGGTTCTTACCTTCCCATCATGCATCACGAGAGACGCGTGATCAAGTCATGTTTTATGTCACGCCACATCACATGACAAGCCACACATCACCCCACAGGTTTCTTTCATACAACCGGTGGGAATTACGGCGATTGCTGTCATAGCCACAGGGATGCTGTACATCGACCTGGGATGCTGAGACACGCGACAAACGATAGGATGCGGGGATATGAGGCTATAGCAGCCGAAGTTCGCGTTACATATATATATATATATATTTATTTATTTATTTATTTACATATTTATTTGTAACATTCACATGAGGTCTTGTAAAGCAAGGAGTACGACACACACACACACACACACACACACACACACACACACACACACACACACACACACACACACACACACACACACACACACACACACACACACACACACGCACACACACACATGCATGCACATACACATACACACACACACACACACACACACACACACACACACACACACACACACACCGAGAACCGACTTCCTTTTGTAACCTTTCCTGTTGTAATGCGAAAGGTGTGAAGACTTCGGGTTCTCGTAGCGTCGACAGCGTAGAAGTGGCAGCGTTGATAGCAGAGATAACCAGTAGACGTAGACGTAGTCACAGATTAGTTGTTTCACTAGTACTATTAGTAACTACACGTACAAAATATATACATACGGCAACGTAGGTGGGTGACCGGTGCTAGGTCCCGTCGTCTCGTTTTTCGTCTATTCTCTCTACATCTTCGTATCTCCTCTCGTAATGACCCTTTCTGTCTGTCGAGCGTGTCTATTTATATGATTCCCAAAAATCCCCGGCGACTTTTTGAATCCAACCGGTTCTTCGCCGAGGCTAGGAGACGCGTGAAGCTACGCATATATCTAAGACCGTACATACCGCGTCATTACCAAAACAACAACGAACCACCAGGCCAGAACACAGGCCAATTAGTTCCACTGTCTCGCCTGGGTAGAGCGCTCCTGGTTAATTACAGTGTACCATACAACAGTTACAAGGTTAATTCGTCACAAACTTTGAAGCTACGTGTCATCGAGTGTGATAAGCTCGTCGAACCCACGCGGGAGTAGTGCAAGTGCGGTCGAGACGGTCCAGCCCTCCTCTTCGCACTGACGATGCATTAAACGCACAAATACACACTGATTCATTATTATCTTTCCGTTTTGTTGCCGCGTGTGATGCCAGCAATAGATATGCATTTACGATACACAGTGATTTCTAAAGTAAATAACGTAAGCATTTATTCACATCGTGTACCTACTTTGGTCGCCAAGCCCAGACATATGGTCGCACGTCTTACATGTCATACTTGTATGTTGTGTACTACACTGTGCGTACGTGCGTGCGTGCGGGCGTGCGAGCGTGCGTGCGCGCACGTATGTTTGTGTGTGAGTGTCCACGAATCATGTCCATACGGATAGATCTACTGACCCAATTTTCGCATAGACAATGGGCGTGCTTTATGGTTAAACCGTAGGCCAGTGTTTCTTTTCAGTACTACACTATTTTAGTGTCATTCACCCTCGAGTCTTTATCACAAAATTTCATTCACCCGCGGCTAAATTTTCGTATGTTTTCACCTATTTTCACCCCAAAATAATTTGATTCACCCTTGAGTGAACCATTCGCCAGTTTAAGAAGCACTGCTGTAGGCGGTACTAAGCATATATCTAAATACCGTGTATAATTGTACAAATTGTATATTGGGTTTTTAGTATGACACAACGACTGGCATGACCGACACCAATAACATACCATGTGAATAATTATCTGATCCATTTTTCGATATTTACCCCCGTACAACGATGGGTATCTTTTCCAGTGTATACGTATATTTATATATTACGCCTATATATCCATATATATATATATCCATATATATATATATATATATATATATGCACGCACGCACGTATACATAAGTATATAGACACAAGATTAATATTAGACGTGTTCGATCTCGTGTGTCATGCAAGTGATTAAATGTTGTTTTATTAGTGTTGTCTAAGGATAGGCCACCTTTATCTGTGTTTCTAGCAGGTAGATGGGAGATTTGATTGGTGGTTTATGTGGCGAGGAGGGTACAACCGACTTGGAATGTACATGCACTTAGCGCATGACCAAATAACCGAGTGTTCGCGGCCATAACTGATAGAACTACGACTTGTGCAAAGCGATTCACCCTCGATGATATAACATACAATATTATATCGCGTTGCGTTGTAAGTGTTTGCAAGACGATGAACGAGTTCACTCTAAAATTATTGGTAAGTGATTTGGAAGATAAACTCGGAAGGTGGATTTGATGCAATGCCTGCATGATGGTGATGATATAACTCGGCGGAAGTTAATACGTTATCCGATACTATAACTTCCGAAACTTATGCGATGATATCAATTTAAACCTGATAATATGAAGCACAGGCACTTGGAGCGTCTCAATAAAGAGAAATAATACTAAATAAACACGAAATGTATTTACTACCAAAGTCTAAACGTTTCTCTACTCTCTTTCGCATATTATTACCGATAATTTCCTGTGAATGCATGCATTGATAATTATAACGAGTGACTTTCTTCGATTCACAGCTGCTCTTACACTTCCTCGTTGTCATCGGTTGTTTAACTCACGGGAATCATGCAGATTCTACCGAAAACTACTCAGCAGAGAACAACTCAACGGGAAATTATTCGACATTCTGTTATTATACAAGCTGGGCTCAGTACAGACCCCCCGGTGGTTCGTATTACCCACATATCTCATTCTAAACGTGATTACGTAAAGGTCATGGTGTAATAATACGTAAAGTACAGTAACAAAGAGCCGTTATATCTGTCTCTAATAACGTCTTCTTTTTTAAAACAAATCTGTAATTTTTCGTTTTCAGCGAACATGGGCTCGGACGATATCGACCCCAATCTCTGCACTCATTTCAACTATGCTTTCGCCGTCGTTCGTGGTTACATGATAGTACCGTACGATGCCACCGACGAGGCTAGTACGTTTACTTGTTAAGCATTCATCCAATATAGTAAGTGACTATAATTACAACGGACGAATACAAAAGAAAGTACACCGTCCCTGCCTTACAATCAAACCTAATGGCAACATGAAAAGTGATAATACATTAATATATACTAGCTAGGAGTGTAATATAATGTGTTTGTAATGTAACGTAATGTCATTAATAATACCAAAAATAGCTAAAATGTAACGATGAATTACGATCTATCTATCTACTATCTATCTATCTATCTATCTATCTATCTATCTATCTATCTATCTATCTATCTATCTATCTATCTATTTATTTATTTATCTATCTATTCATCTATCTATCTCTGACTCGTGCTCTCTCCCTCTCTCTCCCTCTCTCTCTCTTTCTCTCTCTCTCTACTACTGTTATTCTTAATATACATATCTAGAGTGGATAGAATAGAAAGAGGTAATTACTGTGGTGTGTCTTCGCAGCATACGGGAACTGAGAGCGAAGCTGGATACCGTGACGCCATCACCGAAGCTGTTCCTAGCCGTCGGTGGCTACACTCACGGCCCTGACTCCTTCAGCAACATGGCCGCCAGTCGGACGGGCCGACGTCTGTTCGTCGCCACGAGCATAGACTATCTACGGGAACACAAATTCGACGGTCTGGACATCGATTGGGAATATCCCGGGCAGGTGGAGCGTGGTGGCAGAGAAGAAGACTACGATAACTTCCCTAAGCTATTGCAGGTGAAAGTGAGAGAGCGAGAGGAGGGGGGCAGAGAGAGAGATAGAGAGAGAGAGAGAGAAAGAGAAAGAAGGAGAACGAGAGAGCGAGAGGCAGAGAGTAAGATAAAAGAAGAGCGATACGGGGAGCGAGAGGGAGAGAGGGAGAGGAAAGGGGAAGCGGAAAAGAGGGATTGATAAAGAGGAAAGCGAGAAAGATAGAGGGCGAGCGGAGAGAGGAAAGAAGAGCGAAAGAGAGAGAAAGCGCGCGCAATAGCGATAGAGAAAGAGAGAGAGAGAGACACACACACACACAAACAGACAGACAGACAGACAGACAGACAGACAGACAGACAGATACATATTATATATATATATATATATAATGGTTGGTAATAGCGCCACGTTCGATCTATTGACCAAACCACCTCATTAAACTCATGCTATGCAGGAGCGGCGGACGGGGTTTGAAGAACAGGGACTGCAAACAGGGCAAGCCAGGCTCCAGCTCAGCCTCGCTGTTACTGGCGGAAAGAAAACCACAGACAACGCTTATGACATACCAAAGATAGCTCAGTAAGCTATGCCCCCTCCCCCACTCAGCCTCACTAACCCTTACCCCACCTCACTAATAGAATGTAGGGTATAAAAACGGGATACCGTGGGGTTTAAACCTAGAGCATATCAGGAGCGAATAAGAATAGATTATCTTTTAGATCTATTAGATATATTAGATTTATTAGATCTATAGGTAATCTATTATTATTCACCCATGATCATATCATATAATATATTGTTGGATCGTATACTAAATCGTTCATTGTTACATCGTATATTAGATCTTATACTCAGATCGTATACAATAAGATAATAATATATATGCCGCTTTCTATATCATGTCCCCGTTAAATCTCTGCCTAATCTATCGCTTTTCTTGATGTCTCTCTTGATGCTTTAAGTCATGTAAAAGCAGAATAACAAGAGGAAATAACTATAAGATCTTGTCGGTATAACAACTCGTCTCTTTCCGACTTCGATATAGTCCCTTGAAGACTATTATTTACGAGATTACGATGTATAATTTGTCGTCATCGGTTGTGGGATAATCTCAAGTCCGAGTTCTCAATCCTTGCGTGTTGATTTATTCTAGATCGGTTGACTACGTGCTGGTGATGGCCTACGATTTCTACGGGGCGTTTCCGCAGGAAACTATCACGGGACACAACGCGCCTCTGTACCACGGCCACGACGACGTGTTTAGCGGCACGTACGTCTATCGTAACGTAGTAAGTAATACACCCTTCTTCTTCCCCTCACCTGACAGCAATACCAGCCGAGTTCACACACCGTATGAATGCTGTACTGTTTTACCAACAATAACGACGGCGACGACGCTGATGACGATGACATCGACGACGAAAATACAACAACAATATCAGAAGCATCAACAACAAGAACAAAAACAATGATAGCAACAACAATACTAATACCAAACAAACAACAACAGCAGCAACAACAACAAAAACAACATATCAACAACAAGAACAAGGATAAATCAACACGGATGAGAAGAAAAAGAAGAAGAAAAAAAAAGAAGATGGAGAAAAAGAAGCAGAAGAAGAAGAAGAAGAAGAAGAAGAAGAAAAAAAAGAAGAAGAAGAAGCAGAAGAGCCACAACAACAACAACAACAACAACAACAACAACAACAACAACAACAACAACAACAACAACAACAACAACAACAACAACAACAACAATAACAGTAACAACTCGTACTCGAGAGTCTATTCCGTCGTGATTTCAGCACTATGCCACGCTTCGATGGTTGGAGAATGGAACACCTCAGGACAAACTTGTTGTCGGTATACCATCGTATGGCCGTTGTTTCGTATTACCGGACTACGCCGACCCAACAACTATAGGACAGAACTTCACTTCAGGCTGCAACGCAAACTACTATACGAAGGAAATAGGATTTTTGTCGTATTATGAAGTAAGATTCATGGTATTTTTTATTATCATTGCGCGTTCCATTTCCATATATAATCTATGTATAATATATATAATCTTTTTTAATTTAATGCTCTTTTTCGTCGTTAGTTAATATCTTGTGACGAATTCTGGCATGCAATTTGCCTTGCAAATTTGCAATTTGCCTTGCGAACGACAATAGATGCGATGCAATCTGCGACTGACACTTATTTAATGTTTTGTAGGTGTGCGAACACATAGACAGCGTAGCAGCAGACCAATTATACTGGGACGATGAACAGAAAGCATCATTCCTGAATAAAACGCCGGAATGGATATCGTATGACAATGAACAGAGCGTACGCGAGAAGGTTTGCAATACGTACTCTTTTAAACTCAAAACTCAAAAAAACTAATAAAAAGACACTTTATTCATGTTTTTATGTTAAATATTTACGAAGATAGAACAATTAATAATTTAATAGATATTTAGAATCCCGTGGAGGCCATCTTGGATTTCTCTTTGTCACAGGCGTTACGGAAAAAAATTCAGCTTAGCACTATATCTGAAATAACTTACTATACCTTTAACATCATACATGCTAATTTTGGTGCTTTCACCACAAAACCCACAATCCTTCTTGATATTTACACATACCTGCTTCCCCAATACTCGTAACGTTAGCAAGATAAAGGTACATGGTTGAGAGTTGTGGACATCTGTCGTAAACGATTTTCTCATGCTTGTTCCACCATATATTTCCGATGTAACAAAATAACCGGGGGAAAAACATTGACATATGCCCAGATTTTGCAAACTAGTTCCTACTAGGCATTTTTAGCTGGATAATGACGTTCGTACGCTATGCTACGGCAACATTGCCGTACGTTTTCCTACTTGCCTACAAAACAGTCTTCGAATCGTAACGGAAGTTATAGGTAATTATTATTATTAAATCTTTAGTACATGTAATTCAAATACAAATACATGTAATCGCAACAACATGCAAAGAACCACCGCGGTATCGACAGTTGTTTGTTACCGCGTGAATCTTCGTCCGTCCTTCAGGTGACCTTCCTCAAGGAGAGACGCCTCGCCGGCGCCATGTTGTGGACGCTCGACTTTGACGACTATACGGGCAAGTTCTGCGGTGCGGGAGACTATCCACTCCTACGCACCATCGACGCCGAACTGCAGAAACCGGATCCGGACGAGATCATCGACTGGAACGAGTACACGACCACGCCGCCGCCGACGACGACCGAGACGACCGAGACGACGGGTTCTTCCGCGCCGACCAGCGAGGAACCCAGCACGGGGAGCACGGGGAGTCCCTCCGTCGAAGACTACGTCATATTTTGCTACTTCACTAACTGGGCGCAGTGGCGCACCCCGCCAGGTACGTACGTGCCTACCGACAGATGGATTAACCTAGCTACACTCTTAACTTTTTCGTTTTAAATTTACACCAAAACAAGTGTAAAAAATACACCTAAAATACACCCAGTTTTACGTGAGAATTTACACTTTAAGCAATCTATCTTCAAACCCGTAAAAGCGTTTTATTACCGGCGTTAGGGTAAATTAACACTCTAAAATAGGAGTATTTTGGGTGTAAATTTAAACCAAAAAGTTAAGAGTGTATAGTTATAACTTTACGTATTATTACGTTGTTACGTAACTCGATTCATCTTCTCCGTGGTATTAAACCTGAAAAGACTTTTTTTACTCGAAAGTGTAGCGGGGCTACACTAGTATATGTACGGGCACCGTAGACTCGCACGGTGAGAGTGAGTGTGGTTGCTTTCAGCTAAGTTTCTTCCTGAGGACATCGACCCAACGCTGTGCACTCACTACAACTACGCTTTTGCACGACTTGGGGATGACTACATGTTACATCCGTACGAGGAAAAAGATGCGGGTGAGTATATACTGTATATATATATATATAAATATATATATATATATCGAGTAAGGCTGACCGCCTTCGCGTATCACCATGATATTCACCGCGCGCTGAGCTATCGAGGTGCAGATTTACCAGTTAATTAAATAGTTAATTAAATAATTAGGCTTTCATAATTAATGTGAATTTCCTGGGATTTGTGTTATTCCTTCAGAATTTTACAAGATAATGCGGAGTGTGCTAGACAGTGTGGACCCACCACGTAAGATGCTGCTAGCCGTGGGTGGATCCAACCACGGACCAAAGCCGTTCAGTGACATGGTGAAAGATCCGACAAGTAGAGCTATCTTCATCGATGCTAGCATTGCATACCTACGCGCTCACTACTTCGATGGTTTGGAACTAGACTGGCAGTATCCAGGTGAGGTAGAGAGAGGTGGCAGGCCAGAGGACTACGAAAACTTCCCGCTACTATTACAGGTTATATTATATCAACAATTTTTCGCAGTAGTTTAAGAGAAATATATGATAGTGTAGATTAAAAAGACATTCGAATTTGGATCGAGGTGGGTTAGTTGCCTCGCTCCCCGTAGAAGAGGCAGCTTGATGCTGGTGCTGGAGCCAGCTGATGCGACGGTGACGACGACGACGATGATGATGTTTTTGTTGATGCTGCTGCTGCTGCTGCTGCTGCTGATGATGATGATGATATTAATGCATTTGTTGTCGATGATGATGACTACGACGACGACGATGATGATGACGACGACGACGATGATGATGACGCCGACGACGATGACGATGATGATTTCTGTGCAATGACGATCGTGTTGCAGGAACTACTAGAGGCATTCGAGGAGGAGGTGCGCACGACCAGCAGAGAAAGACTCCTGCTGAGCGTAGCCGTCGGAGCCGGTATGGACGCAATAGACGTCGAATACGACATCCAGAACATTGCGAGGTATTTGTAATTCAATTTTTATTTATTAAATTTATTTATTTATTTAAATAATTTATAAATGGCGTTTTCGAATAAAAACGTCGTCATCATATCATATCTTCTTCGATGTTCAATGTCGAATCTGTTCCGGTCTTGCACATCATGCGCATGCGTGATCCGTTCTCCTGTAAATACCAATCGTGATGCGTGAAAAGAAAATACTGTTAGTGTGCTTGTATCGCTACGTGAAACTCGGTTGAAACCACGGAGCTATATATACAGTATATATATAATATATATATACACGATATATATACTATACTATATATATTATATATATATATATATATAATATATATATATATATATTATATATATATATATAGAGAGAGAGAATGAGAGAGAGAGAGAGAGAGAGAGAGGGGGGGGGAGAGTAAAGATAGTATATATAGAGATCAGTGGTTGAAACCCCTAGCGGCAACTCCGATAACTGCTATCATCGCCGACGCAGCTGACGATAGGTGCCGCCATCTGTTGGCAGGAACGTCGACTACGTACTGCTGATGGCATACAACTTCTTCGTTCCGGCGGAGAATGCGAATATGACGGGACACAACGCGCCGCTGTACGATAGACAAGACGATCAACTTCCCACATATCCGACTAGCAGTGTAGTAAGCATTTACGTGCCCATACCATATGTACAACAGCTATCCCACGCTACACGGTGTATAACGTGTACATAGATATATATATAGAGAGCTATAGATATATATATAGCGAGAGACATATATATATATATATATAAAGAGAAAGAAATAATTTATTATCTAACGCATTGGACAGGCATTGTAGTAAGCATTTACAACGTGCCAGCACCACCACAGCTATATCCAACGCTATACACGGTGTATAACGTCAGAGATGTATTATCCCACGCATCCGTAGGCAACGTAGTTGCAACGTAGTTACAAGTGCCTATACCACCACAGCTATCCCTCCTTACACGGTGCATGACGTGTATAGAGAGATATACCTGTACTTCAGCCATTAAACAGGTGCATTATTCTTAATTGTAGCGAAACGCTGCAACTTGCAGTGTTCATGGTCCATGGCTGAATCAATGCTATACACAAACACACTATAAATGTTACAGTGACAGCGAGTTACGAACCTTATATAGGTCTTGTCAAAAGCGTATTAAGTGTCAGCGCAGGTTAATTCAATGACGATTAGACCGATTCATATAAGGTGAAATATACAAGAAAAACCCGACCATTTCATTATTCGTTACTAACTGATCAAGGATAGTTTCGCATCCCGCAAATGTGTTTTCGCATGTGCGCTAAACTAATCCGGGTTGCTAAACTGGGCTCGTGTCACACGAACAGCACTGGGCGACGAAGCGGTGGCTGGAAAATGGAACTCCGCAGAAGAAGCTAGTCGTCGGTGTTTCCCTCTCCGGATACTGCTTCCATCTATCGGCCGGTTCCGATGGAAACATGATCGGTCAACCGTTCGACGAGCCATGTCCGGGAGGTCTGTTCACAGCAACGGCCGGGTTCTACTCGTACTACGAGGTAATACGATATATTATTATATTATATATATATATATATATATATATATATTTGTGTGTGTGTGTGTGTGTGTGTGTGTGTGTGTGTGTGTCGCGCGCGCGCTGCGTGTGCGTGTGCGTGTGCGCGTGTGCGTGTGCGTGTGCGTGTGCGTGTGCGTGGTGCGTGTGCGTGTTGTGCGGTGTGTGTGTTTGTGTGTGTGTGTGTGTTGTGTGGTGCGCGTGTGGGTGTGAGGGGGGTGCGTGTGTGGGTGTTTGGTGTGTGTGTGTGTGTGTGTGTGTGTGTGTGTGTGTGGTGTGTGCGCGCGCGGTGTGTGTCTGTGTGCGTGTGCGTGCATGCGTGCGTGCGTGCACACACACCCGCGCACGCACACATCCGTACACACACCCATATACGCACCCGCGCCGCACGTGTGCGCACACGCACGCATGCATGTACATGCGTGCGTGCACATGTTGACTGCGACCTATGCGTCCTAGCTGCTGGCCTGTGGGTGTGTCAGCGTGGGCAGTGCGTGCGTGCGTGTGTGCGTGCGTGCGTGCGTGCGTGCGTACGTGCGTACGTGTGTTTGTTTATTTGTGTCTACGCGCAAGTTATAATATAAATGAGTGAACATTTATAGAAGAAGAAACAGTCAACGTGCTTTGATCACCAACACGTAACCGCGTAGCTCTCGTACGCGTGGTCCATTGATAAGAGTAAGAACGAATGAGTGTGCAGCGTCGTGGACAACAGTCGGATAGGAATTCCCAGTAACATATAACTGGAAAACCTCCGTATTTCTTTGGCCCGATGTCGCGTTTATGGATGTACGCATCACTTATGACAATCAAGAGATTCAAGGTGAAGACAAATCGAGTTTTTTTTTCACAATGCAGCTTGCGTTGCCTGTCTCCGTCGTCCCACCGTCGGAATAAAGGCGAATAAGTGCAGTACATTACAGGTGGAAAACATCGCTCAACAATGTTATTGAAATTTAAAAGTTATTTTTTAGAGAGAGATGAGAATTGAGGCGAATATATAGGTGCGGGGATTATTACAGGTAGCACGCATCGCCTAACAATGTTATTGAGATTAGAAGAGTTTATTTTTTAGAGAGGAATGAGAAGTGAAGCGAATATATAGGTGCGGGGATTATTACAGGTAGCAAGCATCGCCTAACAATGTTATTGAGATTATAATTTTTTTTAACAGAGAGATAAGAAGTGAGGCAAATATAGGTGCGGGAATTATTACAGGTAGCAAGCATCGTCTAACAACGTTATTGAGATTAGAAGAGTTATTTTTTAGAGGGAGATGAGAAGTGAGGCGAATATATAGGTGAGGTGTATTACAGGTAGCACGCAAGCATCGTCTACAATGTTATTTAGAGCTAGAATTTATGCCTCTTATTATGCCTAGAATTTAGTATTTATTTTGATTTCACGTTCATAGCTGTGCGACGAGGTGCTAGATGGACACACTCCATCTTGGGACGATCAGCAGAAGGTGCCGTACATTGTCGCCAGACAGCGATGGATAAGCTACGATAATGATAGAAGTCTGTACGAAAAGGTCAGTCATACCATAGATATATACAAACACATGTGCTTGTATACATCTATGGTCATATATTTACTCGGTGCGGTCGGTTTTGAACTCGGTCTTAACTCTAGCAAGACGAACTAAATGCAAAGGAAAACGAAAGAGATGCTCGTAACTCATATACAGCTGTAGAAGGAGAGAGAAAGAAAGAGAGAGGGGAGAGAGAGAAAGCGAGAGCGAGAGAGAGAGAGAGCGCGAGCGAGCGAGAGAGGGGGAAGAGGGGGAAAAGGGAGAGAAAGAGAACGTTACATAATCCATAGAATGTTAAATTTATTATTAGTGTGACATGCCGAATTGTCACAGGGTTGTTGTGATTATTTGGTGCTGCCCTCGAGTGGCGAAAGGAGAAAAAAGATAGACGGCAGCACTACCGAGAACAGATGGCAGCACTAGGCCACCATGCTGAATCAGATAGAAAGCAGAAGAAAGCATTCTGCTGATTAGTCATTTCTATCGGTCAACATCTACGAGGTTATCGTGTGACCCAGGGCAGTTTGTTGCCCGCGAAGTTGGCGTGGTCAGTCCTACAGTGGCATGATCTAGCCCGATCATGTACTTGGCTCCCTAGGGGTTTTTTGTTTGTTCACAAATAAATCGTCTACCCCGCACTTGATTGTTGGAGTCTTTTTCCGGACCTCACAAATGGCGCAGTCGACAGGATTATCAAGTACGGCATCCATTGATCCGAGGAGGTGAACAAACCCTTGAGGGAGACGAGAGAAACAAGAAGACATCTATAAGGCGAACATCTGCACGATCTGTGGCGCGGCATACGTGACGCTGAAAGCTCTGCAGGGACACATGGACTCGCATGCCGACCAAGCCGTTGCCAGCATTCTGCCTGATGGCATGGCGACCAGCTAGTCAGATAGCCAGCGTAGCATTTAGTGGAAAACAATAATGCACTTTTTAGGGTTTCTCGGCCTCATGTGCTTTAATGATTACAGATTTAACTTACAAGACGGATTGAACCAACTCGGCTGTCGGCCATTTATTATCAACCACCACACTCCGCGGCCCCTAGCGGGGGTAAGTGCAAATTACAGGTTAAGTTGTAGTGAACGGAACGCAAAGATGTATTGTCAAACACTACACTGTACACACTTTGTACATATTTGTATTGTATGAATAAATTGCGCGATTTATGGTGTAGACTGTAGACTGAGGAAGCTTCTCGAGTACAAGCCTCCCATTGCCCTTGGGTTCCTAATTTACGTGGTTCATTCTCACACGGAGTCCCGGAGGTGGCGGAATGGAGGATCGGGTAAGGATCTTGGAGGAGGAGTTAGCGAAGGCCAAATTGGCGGAGGCCACACTTAAGGCTGTGTGCCAGCGTGAGCCGGGGTATGCTGCTCCCTCCCGACGTGTGGAACGGTTCCGGGACCGTCCGGAGAAGTCGGGGGATCCGGATGTTGAAAAATGGGTTGGGGACATTGGGGCTCAATTAGCCACTCATAAAGGCACCCAGGAGGAAAGGGCGGCAGTGGTCCTCCAGCACCTGGGGGGCAGGGCCCGCATGGAGGTGAGTGGTCGGCGAGGAGTAAGCAAAGATGCTGAGAAGATCTTCGAAGTCCTGTTGGCGAATTTCGGAGATGCGGACCACCAATCTCTGCCGAGGCTCCAGCAGCGATTTTTTTCGTACCAGCAGAAATGGAGCCAATACCTGCTTAGCTGCTCAATGGAGCTGGTCCGATTGAGCAAACTGATCACCGCTATGGATGGATCATAGGAGGCCTCCAGAGACAACACTCTAAAGGGGCGGCTGGCAGAGGCAGTCCATGAGAAGGGCTTGCAACAAGAATTAAGGCGCCTAAGCCCTGACCTACTTCGAGTTGTGGGACCGGGCGATACAGTGGCTGGGTCACCAGCCGTGACAAAGGCCGTCACCGTGTCGCTATGGACCAAGAGGTTACCTCTGAGGCTGTCGACTCAGTGGTGGCTGCTATCAAGCAACAAGGCGACCAGTTAGCTGAAGTATTAAAGCAGCAGCAGCAAATGTCTGTCATGATGGATATGCTGCGGCAACAGGCGAGTGAGGGTCGACCTGTCAACAGGGGCCCACGGCGCCAGTATGGGGCTAACAAGAGCCCCATGCTTTGTTGGAGTTGCCAGTCCCCGGGCCATATTCGAAGGAACTGCCCGGATAACGGGAATGGGCCGGTGGGGCAACCCCAGGTTTCCAGGCCACAATTTACCGGTCACACCATGTCGGAAAAGTCAATTAAACAAGAAGCGAAAGAACACAGTAATCACGAGAGAATGGATGGAGCTGGGTCCCGCTCTCGGTCGCGATCGCCTGCGCGCAGAAGAGATGACAGACGGCGGGATAACACACGGCACCAGCCGGACAACTACCGAGGTGGCGGCGGCGACCGTGGAGGAGGTGGGCCGCGCGACAATTGCCGCGGTGGCAGGATCGACTACGAGCAGAGGGTCTACCGTAGCAACATTCCATGTGATCTGAAGTGGCAAGACATCAAGGATCTATTCCGAGACAAAGTTAGTGGAGACGTCACGTACGTGGAGCTGTATGAATCTGGGAAAAATCAGCCTAAAGGATGTGGTGTTGTTGAGTTTAAAGATCAAGATACTGCGCAGAAAGCTATTGATATTATGCACAGATTTGAAATCAAGGGACGAACACTCGTCGTAAAAGAGGACAGGGAAAGCTTTCATCTTGACGACCGAGGAAGGGGACAAAGAGTAGGAGGTGGCGGCGGACATGGCATGGGCATGGGCATGGGAGGAGGAGGAATGGGCATGGGCGGCGGCATGGGAATGGGAGGCGGCTCGTCAGGAAGGTCGTTCAACACATATGGCATGGCGCCGGAGGTGCTTCAGCGTCTTGGCATTGAGGGTCCGCTCTCCACCCGCGTGTTCGTCGCCAACCTCGACTACAAGGTGACTGCACCGAAGCTGCGAGAGATCGCTGGCAAGGTCACCGACATCGTTCTCAAGTGCGACCAGGACGGCAAGAGCAAGGGCTACGCCGTCATCGAGTTTGAGCACCCGGTCGAGGCCGTGCAGTCGATCTCAATGTTCCGCGGCCAGCTCTACTACGGACGCACGATCACCATCCACATGGATCGAATGGCGGACAAGCCCTTCGCCGAACTTCCAACGAAACTTCCGGCGGGCTTGGAGTTCACGGCAGCAGGCTTACTAGTTGCAAAAACGTGTCGAATGTTGGACCACAAGATATGCCTAGTCTTGGCGGTGGAAGCCTACAGGTGCAGACAGTCAATGACAGATCCGACACATCTGACACTGAGGATGAAGGCCACTTCGGGGTTTGCCACCCACGGGAAGTTGACACCACCGATGGCAACCTGACCGGTGAAGACGCCATGAAGTCGGCGGAATCAGAAACCGAGGATATCCCTCAGGAAGGCCACCCATCCAACAGCGAGGCAGACAGCAGCGAGGAGGGGAGTTCGGAGTCCAACTCCGAGAATAATGGTTTACGCAAGACAGAACGTGCAAATGCGGGGAACCATTCTAACCTCCACCACCTCCCCAAATCTGTCCTCAAGCAGGAGACTCGCAGGTCTAAAGTGAAAAGGTCACCAGGTCGTCCTTAATTGTCCCCAGGTGTTGGCTAATATCAGCGAGACCCAGCTGTTATTGGTCCAGATGTTAGCCGGTGCCAATAGGTGAAGTCCTTCAGGGCATGACAAATATTGCAGCGGCCCTTGCTCAGTCATTGAGCGGGTCAATCCAATAAGTGTAAGGATTGTGAGTGCAATCCTGGGGGAAAAAATGGGGGAGATGTGACATGCCGAATTGTCACAGGGTTGTTGTGATTGTTTGGTGCTGTCCTCGAGTGGCGAAAGGAGAGAAAAGATAGACGGCAGCACTACAGAGAACAGATGGCAGCACTAGGCTACCATGCTGGATCAGATAGAAGGCAGAAGAAAGCATTCTGCTGATTAGTAATTTCTATTGGTCAACATCTACGAGGTTATCGTGGGACCCAGGGCAGTTTGTTGCCCGCGCAGTTGGCGTGGTCAGTCCTACGGTGGCATGATCTAGCCCGATCATGTACTTGGCTCCCTAGGGGTTTTTTGTTTGTTCACAAATAAATCGTCTACCCCGCAATTGATTGTTGGAGTCTTTTTCCGGACCTCACATTAGTATTATTAATAAATTATTATTGCATGTAATTCAAATACAAATACATATACCGAAGACAGTTTTTTTCATGGAGAAAAAATCTGATTGATGAAATAGTGTTGAGTGGTTAAAATAATAACATTTCTGAGTATGTAGGTCTACAGTACAAAACACCGCTACACAACACAAAGAAAAAATAATAATACAAAATAACAGTGCTTTCAGTACAGTTTCAAATTTCAAGTTTACTTAAATTCAACTCAAATTCATACCTGTGTGCATGTATTACTCTTACTATGAAGGTGATGTTCATCAAGGAGAGGAGGCTGGGGGGCGCGATGATATGGGCGTTGGATTATGATGATTTCTCGGGAGTGTTCTGCGAGAGTGGACAAAACCCAATGCAGCACAGCGTCAACAAGACGTTGAGAGACTGGGATCCGGAAGAAGTGATCGATTGGATCCAGCCAACCGTAACACCTAATGGTAAGCCTGAGCTAGGCTTCTTCGATGGGGCTGAGGTCATTTCCGCACACTGTGTAAGCAGGGGCGTAGCTACGGGGGGCCTGGGGGCACGTGCTCCCCACAAATTTTCTGTGCCCACCCCAGGTGCCCCCCCACTGAAAATTCATGCTTGATAAAAAAAAATTGAATTGAAAACAATGCCGTTAGAACAGTATAATACAATGAAAGAAGGTTCGAACCACATCTCAATAAAATTATATATTGTGCCCCCCCCCCGAAAATGTATGGTCCCTCCCCAGTGCCCCCCCCCCCGCTGAAAAAATCCTAGCTACGCCACTGTGTGTAAGGGAAGACTCGGCTATAAGAATTTATTATCGGTAAGAAAATCGTCATCAGCGGAAATATTTATTATGTTGCTTTTCATTGAAATGAATTTCTCACAAGAAAGAGAGGGAGAGAGAGAGAAAAAATGGGAGAGAGAGAGAGAGCGCGCGCGAGAGAGAGAGAGAGAGAGAGAGAGAGAGAGAGAGAGAGAGAGAGAAGAGAGAGAGAGAGGAGAGCGCGACGCGCAGTGTACGAGGAAAGTGTAGTTACTATACTAAGTTGTTAGTTTAATTAGTTAATTACGTTAATTACGTTCTTACTACCCG